GTAGTCCCGTACTTTTTTTGTAGTCAAGCCTAGTGAGCGAAAGCGAAACGTTTTTCAACGTTTTACACTTGCGTCGTTTACAACCTTTTGGGCTGTTCTTGCGACAAGTTGTGTGTTGTGTTTGTTGAGATAGTGTGGCTAGGATGTTGTGTTTGTTGAGATAGTATGACTAGGATGTTGTGTTTGTTGAGATAGTGTGACTAGGATGTTGTGTTTGTTGAGATAGTGTGGCTAGGATGTTGTGTTTGTTGAGATAGTATGACTAGGATGTTGTGTTTGTTGAGATAGTGTGACTAGGATGTTGTGTTTGTTGAGATAGTGTGACTAGGATGTTGTGTTTGTTGAGATAGTGTGACTAGGGTGTTGTGTTTGTTGAGATAGTGTGGCTAGGATGTTGTGTTTGTTGAGATAGTATGACTAGGATGTTGTGTTTGTTGAGATAGTGTGACTAGGATGTTGTGTTTGTTGAGATAGTGTGACTAGGATGTTGTGTTTGTTGAGATAGTGTGACTAGGATGTTGTGTTTGTTGAGATAGTGTGACTAGGATGTTGTGTTTGTTGAGATAGTATGACTAGGATGTTGTGTTTGTTGAGATAGTGTGACTAGGATGTTGTGTTTGTTGAGATAGTGTGACTAGGGTGTTGTGTTTGTTGAGATAGTGTGACTAGGGTGTTGTGTTTGTTGAGATAGTGTGACTAGGATGTTGTGTTTGTTGAGATAGTGTGACTAGGGTGTTGTGTTTGTTGAGATAGTGTGACTAGGATGTTGTGTTTGTTGAGATAGTGTGACTAGGATGTTGTGTTTGTTGAGATAGTGTGACTAGGGTGTTGTGTTTGTTGAGATAGTGTGACTAGGATGTTGTGTTTGTTGAGATAGTGTGACTAGGATGTTGTGTTTGTTGAGATAGTGTGACTAGGGTGTTGTGTTTGTTGAGATAGTATGACTAAGATGTTGTGTTTGTTGAGATAGTGTGACTAGGATGTTGTGTTTGTTGAGATAGTGTGACTAGGGTGTTGTGTTTGTTGAGATAGTGTGACTAGGATGTTGTGTTTGTTGAGATAGTGTGACTAGGGTGTTGTGTTTGTTGAGATAGTGTGACTAGGGTGTTGTGTTTGTTGAGATAGTATGACTAGGATGTTGTGTTTGTTGAGATAGTGTGACTAGGATGTTGTGTTTGTTGAGATAGTATGACTAAGATGTTGTGTTTGTTGAGATAGTGTGACTAGGATGTTGTGTTTGTTGAGATAGTATGACTAGGATGTTGTGTTTGTTGAGATAGTGTGACTAGAATGTTGTGTTTGTTAGAATAGTATAACAAGTTCTTGTGTTTGTTGTATTTGAGGTAGTGTAACAAGTTTGTACTTGTTGTGTTTGTTGAGAGAAGAACCTATCACAAGCTGCTGCTGGTTGGCCAAGGCAGCTGGACCAGCTGCTGCATTTATTGTGGTTGTTGACACAGAGTTGATGTGGCAGCAGTTGGTTCAAGGTGCTGCTTTTTTCTTAGTGTTTATATTGCTGAAGTTGTGTTGTGGGGTTGCAACAGCTGCTGCAGAAAATAGTGTGGTTGTTGCTGTACTTGTGTAGTTCCTGGTGTCAGTGACGGTATGAGATGGATGCGGCATTACTGGTGAGTGGACACATGTATGTGTAACCCTCCTGTAGAGCTGAAACCCCCCTGTAGAGGTGAAACCCCCCTGTAGAGGTAAAACCTATAGAGGTGAAACCTGTAGAGGAGAAACCTGTAGAGGAGAAACCTGTAGAGGTGAACCCCCCCCCCCTGGAAAGGTGAAACCTTTTCAGTGAAGGATACTTATAACTGCCTACGTCTCTTATCTGAGCATATATAATCACCTCTAGAACTGGACTGGGGACGCTCTTCCTCGGAAGACAATAAACGCACCTCAGGGAAAACTCGAGGTTCTTCCCGGAGCTGTTAGAATATTTTCTTCTCCTACCACCCGCTATATTATGTGAACTTTATTAATAGACAGAATACATTGACAGGAAGCACAAACATGAATACGTTGGTACAATATATCAAAAATTATTAATCCCCTCTAGCTCTTAAGAAGCCGGACGTGAGCCAAGTATGCAGCAAGCATTTACCCTCTGGATGGCCACGCTGAGGCGCTGGAACATGAAAGTGGCTGCTCTTGGGTCCCTGGTGGTGTCGATGAGTCTGGAACCCAGTTCTTTAAGGAAACGTGGCATTTTTTTCTCCACGATTCCAAGGTCTCCGATCCCACTGGGACAAATTGATATTGTTGGCTTACGTCCCTGTACTTGCTGACATTGTACTTCTCCCTGTGGTCAGCAGCTCCTCCCTGTCACCCGACACTGTGATGGATATAGGTGTCAGCCAGTGTGGACACACAGGTATAGTCCCATGCTAAGAGCTTGCCATTCTTCCAAGGATAGATGGTGATCCCGTCGGGGCGGTTTGATGGGTTGTGATTCTTGTTGGCTGCTAGTGATCGGGGCTCTCTCGGCTGGGCATCCAGCTGTAGCAAGGGTTCTCTTTATGATGCTGACTTGCGTCTTGCATGCCAGCCCTTGGCTTTGGAACAGTTAAGACCATGTAGACCATATTGGTCGGTTTGCGCATCGCCGCAAATACACGCATATTCCGTGTGAATTATGGTAGCAAGGCGGAGAGCCACTGCAATACGGAGGGTCTTAGGGTCGAGGCTTCATCAGTCCAATACAAAGCAGGAAGGTATATGGTGAGGAGGAGTTTTAGGTAATCAGTCCCCTAGCCTGGAATCGATGTGTTCAGTCCATCGCTCTTGTAGGAAGTACAGCATAGGGCCAGAGAGGTGGCTTATATACTGCAGTCAGGCGAGTCGAAGCAAGAGGTGGCGGAACACCTCTTTGGCCCTATGCTGTAATTCCTACAAAAAGTGATGGACTGAACACATCGATTCCAGGCTAGAGGACTGATTACCTCCAACTTCTCCTCACCTTATGTCTTCCTGCTTTGTATTGGACTTATGAATTCACTGTGTGGCGAAATGTTTCTAAAGTAAAGATTCCCTAATATTGCATTAGTGTCTCAGTTCTTCATCTTCTATTTTTTTGCTAATTTGGGCTCTGATTTTTGAGGGGTAAGGTGTTCTGTTGTTGACATTTGCCCGGCGGGTGTTTGTCGCCCTAGAGGGGAGACGGACGAGGTTGTCATCTCTAGGGAATGCATTTATTGCGCTAATAACATATGTTGCTAGTGACCTGTCCCTCCTGGGTGGGACAGCCAGACAGACATTGCCAAATAGCAGTAGATTGTACCAGGATCCATTGTTTACAGGAGCATCGTTGACTTTCTTCAAGAGGTCAGCGAATTTACTAGCAGTTTGAGAGCGAGCTGCTTTGGGGATGTGTCAGCGTCCTGGTGGATGTTAATTTGATTGCAGATTTTAGGTCCTCTGTAGAGATGAAGTCAGGGTAGCTGTCAGCTCTGTTTGCTGGTAGGGGCTATTAGTTATTCCCATTTGGAGCCCTACGGAAGCCTAGACATCCATTGTGTGCACGGATGTTGCCATTTGAAGGACTGAGTGCACATTCCCTGTGGCACATATGACAGGTGCCTTCAGAAGCAGTATTTTATATTCCAACCATGAACGAGTGGTATTTAATCAATAACAACACTAGCTCTGCTGGGTGCTTGATTCTTGTAGGATTTGGTTGTCCTGTGGGTTAGAGCATCATGTGATTTTCGCTTACCATGAGGCGGGCCAAAACGACATGGGTTCGAGTCCTTGGCTAGTCGCAGTGTTGTTGTTGTTGTTGTTATATATATATATATATATATATATATATATATATATATATATATATATATATATATATATATATATATATATATATATATATATCTCGCGAACAAGGTATGCAAAACAACCACGGGGGGAATTGAATGATAGCTCTAGGCCTTTCATGTTGCAATGAACACATCAGGAGCTTGCAGTATTGCAGAAAAGAGGAAGAAGTCCAAGCAAATATGATTACAGGAAGCGCCTTTACAAAGGCGCTATACTACTACTGATAATAATGACAGTGAGGCAGCAGCAGACTTGTGGATAGTGAGGAGACTTTTATTCCCCTGGTTGCTGCCTCCCCTACCATGGTCGAGTGTCATGGCTGGATTATGGGTCTAGTGTTTCACAATGACTTCAAACTATCCAAACAGTGCGTGATTCACCCTGTCAACACGCCAGTAATGGCACTAACTTACTCCCCTCGGAAGCGCTACCGCCCTCCACCTTTTATACTCTCACTTATTTTTATCGTCTGGGCTTTTGTTTACATTACCGTTATTATAATTTGTGGTCTTTTATATAATATTTTATATAACTTTTTTATATTTTGAATATTAAGTTACGTCTCTTTCTTTTGTTGTTTGTTATCGTTACTTTATTATTGTTAGATTTTTTTTCCATACATTTTTATACAGTGTTAATTTTATTCGTGTATTTTCGTCTCTTTCGTTTTTGGATTTTCTGAATTTATTCCTTCCAATCACTTTAAAATTAAAGTCAATTTTTCTCGGTTATCGTTGATTTTTTTTCATAATTTGCACTGTTTTGTTCATTTTTTTTTTATTTACGACTCTGTTCATATTTAATGTTTTGTTTTATGAACATGGTTCATTGTTACTTTTTTTAATATAAGATTTTGTTAGTCGTTGTTACACTGGTTATATTATACTTTATGTTGGAGGAAAAGGTAAGAAAAAATAAATATAGAAAAAATCTGACAATCAAAATAATGATTTAAAATTATCTTCCACTTTTTTAGCATTTAAAAAGTCTCCAAAATGTACTCTTGATACCCGAGTACACTATCCTGTACTCTGGTTGCTGAGTGACTTGGAGTACTTGTACTATCTATAATTTCAACTTTATCTTATAATCAGGTCTTGTTACGTGATAATTGCGAATAATGTG